CAGTGCAGACAGGATGCACATACATGTAAATATACTTGGCTATCAGCTTGCTTCTTGGAAGCATGTTAAATAGGATTCTTCTTTCCTAACTTTACAATCTAACAATAAGGTATCTGGTTTAAGCTCATTTTTATAATGAACATAAAATCTCATTGAATACACACACTCAAGTGTTTATAAAGTGCAGTAAAAACAAGGAAGGGTAAAAAACAGTAAATTTGAGTTATTAAGAGAAAAATATGACAAGTGAAACAAAGACTTGTTTTCTTATTTTTCCTTTAAAGTGCTCCTGACCAAGACTTAGCTCAAGCCAAAACCTTCATTATGCTCTATGGCATAAAGCAACTGCTTCTTGAGTATGCTTTTACTGCTGTATCTGGGGAGGAACAAAACGAGTTGGCAGGTACTGGCAGAAAGACAGAGCTCATCTGGATTTTCTGCTTGAGGATCTGCAATAGAAAATCTAAAATGTTCCAGTCCACAGCCAGGGATTCGATCACATCCTGACAAAAAAGCTGAAGGAAGAGGAAAAAAAAAAAAAAGAAAAACAAGTTAGCAAATTAAAAAAAAAAAAGATAATGTTATCAGAGGATGAAAATCATGAGGGAAAATTAGTGTAAAAATATGGCAATTTCCATAAGCTAATTTTTTTGCTTGGTTGAATTTGTACCTGAATATAACAAAGTATCTTGCTGATTCATAATAATTACAAGCCCTCTTTTACTTATGAGTTTGTGGATGAGAAAGGCAAGGCTAGGTTTGATCTTCTACATCTAAAAAGGGTGAGCTAGCTTCTGCAGTCTTCTGAGAAAGCTAAAATGCTTATGTCAGCATAGTCTGCTCACACAAGTTGAGGCCTCTGACCAACAACTGATAGCCACAAAGTAAAGGATAAAGTAATTACGAGGTTCAAGGCAGTCAGGCAAGCCTCAAGGGACGTGAGGAGGGTTTGAGCTGCGTCTGTGCAATTCTTTGTGTCACTTTGTGGCTTTCATTAGAAAATGTGGTGGGGGCAGGAAACACGTCAAAAAGACTTTTGGAACTACAGTTATTTTTCATGTGCAAGCATGTAAAATGTGTGTTGTGGGGGAGAGGAAAGGGCTATGAAAAGTTTAAAATGCCTGATATATTACCAAGAAACATTTTCTTTTTTTCTTCTGGGAGTTTGTGAAACACACTCCAAAAATTCCTGATGGTTTGATCTAACTTTTCATACTGGTAGTATTTCACATTCTGTCGAAGGGATAAAAATAAAACAGGCCAGTTAATCCTCACTATTTCCATTTTTATTTAAAGCAACAACAGTTTATCCAATAAATTTTATACTCCTGTTCATAGATATTCAAATTCTCTTAACCTCTGGGATCTGATTGTTCACTCAAAGTTTAATATGACAATCCTTGAACTATAATTTGATTTTTAGTCCCCTTTATTCCTGTACCTGATGTAGATTACAATAAGACTCAAAACGACAACACAATTCAGAAAAAGAGAAAGTCCCTTGAGCTTCTGCTTTTCTGTTCATGACCCACGCACTCAACAAAAGAACAGGCCACAGTTGACGCTCAGCAGATATAGCAGAAGTATGCTCTGCCTGTATCCAATACCTTTTCCAGCAGATGCCAGTCAATTTTTGTGTGTCCCTGGAGAACCATCTGGAGCTCTAGGGGGAGAAATATCTTCCACGTTGTAACCGGGCAGCCTCTTAAAAACCCTCTCTTAAAGTCTTCAAATGGCTTCCGTATCGATTCATCGAACACATAATTCACATACAAGTCCACAAATTCTTTCCTGTAAAGATGTTTTGAATCAAAACAAGCAGTGCAATAGGTGTTTTTTTTAAAGAATTATAGAGAACGTGATTCCTTTTTCCTTTATTCCATATGACCTGCTCTACTGTAAAGACTTGGGTCTTTGCTGAGAGCAGTCATCACTGGCAATTATTTATTCACTGAATAAGCTGGGAGGATCATCACAACTAAAAGAGAATGCTGGCCAACATAGATTCTTTTTGACAATACTCCTTATACTTCACGTGAACACTCCAATGAAACCCTATCAGACACTTCACTATTAAGATGGAACCCAGCAGACTAAAATGGTGTAAATTCAGCAAAACTCCCACTGACTGCCCAAGAATTACCCTGGAATCAAAATAAGTATTTGCATAGCTGCTAATCAGTACAGTTTCACCCTTCTATTTGCAATGGGGATTTGTTTAGTGATGTTACACTTGTACAATCAACTCAATGTAAACGCTGTATTTCGAGCTTCCTGAACAGCCCTTTCACACAGCCCTACAGCTCCTGAGATCATCTGCATAACTCGGGCCACAGAATCTCTCTCTCCTCTGTGCTGAGGTTAATACTGATACAATACCTTATTGACAGACTGCTCCCCCTCTGTTATATACAAGACACATTCCATCTACATAACTAAGCAGGAAACACTTTGCTCTTAAAAAAAAACCAACTTACAGAGATGTACCTATAGCTGGATTTCCCAGGCAAGCTGTCTGTATTTCCTTGAAAATGTTGTTCAGGGATATTTTATACATTTGTTAGGTATTTTCCTGGTCAGGCCAGGCATCTCAGCATATGCAGATATCAGGATGTCCAAGGTTCCCCTTCTTATCCACTGCCTGCACAAACTGCTGATGTCTGGCACGTATGCAGCGCGGACAGCAAGAACTAAAAGCATACAGCCTACTGGAGCAAGACCAGCGGCACAATGCTGATGTTCCATATTTTCTAAGAGCATATGGGGATGGGTATAGACAGGATATTTCATACACTCATAACAAGATAACAGGATAAGAAAAAGAAAAATAAAAACGAACCTGTTATCCCTAGTGACGGGAATGTTGGCGCCATTTTCTTTAAGTTCAACAGCAACCATGGAACCTTCTTCCATTATCTATGCAAATAAATGAAAATACTGGATGCTATATCCATATATGACAGATATATATGTGCTACATCTATCCTTCTTTCTTTCTGCAAGGCCTGGCATAGCACTCTCACTAGTTTGAGTTGACAGTCAAGTTATGTCATTTGCAGTGGGACACTGTCTTGCCTGAGCACACATATGGCACGTCTGAATGGCACAGTAATGTCTTACCGTAAAGTCCATGTCCAGGCTCTCAAGTATATGATCATAATCTTCATCCAAAATTCTCCGAAGACTCCTTTTGAAAAACAAAAGGAGAAAAAGAGAGAAGAAACATGACCATTCAACGCACTTTGAAATTCCACTGAAAACCATCCTTTGACATGGATTATTTAAATGCATACACATACAGAACACCCACACTCACGTAGAACCTTCATATATGGCCCTAAACTGGCCTCTACCCTTACGTCCCACTGCAGCCCTGAGCCGAGGGCAAACGCCTTCACTGCGAAGGATTCCAGGCAAGCCCATCCCATGTCCTGTGGGGATGACTACACAAAGTTCAGTGGCAACCAGGCTGGGACCACAGCCTTGTTCTTCCAGATACCACCCAGTGAGGAATTCAGTGTGGAACAGCGGGGTGATCTGGAAGAACTGCTTTGGGGTGCAGCACCCCTCAACGTAACACAGGCAACCTGCTGTTTCAGTCCACTGAGGACTCTTTCACACCTTGACACAGCCGCTGGCTCGTGGCTTTCACCTTCTCGTCTGTTCATAGCACTTGTGTGGAAAGCTGGGCTTCAGGGGGCCTAGAAGCTTTACGTTGGTGGCGGCAGCGCCTCTCCCTGCTATATCTGCTTGGGGACCTTATAAATGTTTATAAATATCTGAAGGGTGGGTGTCAGGAGGACGGGGCCAGACTCTTTCCAGTGGTGCCCAGCGACAGGACAAGGGGCAATGGGCACAAACTGAAGCACAGGAAGTTCCGTCTGAACATGAGGACAAATTTCTTCCCTCTGAGGGTGACGGAGCACTGGAACAGGCTGCCTAGGGAGGTGGTGGAGTCTACCTCTCTGGAGATATTCAAGACCCACCTGGACTGGACAAGGTCCTGTGCAGCCTGCTGTAAGTGACCCTGCTTCGGCAGGGGGGTTGGACTAGATGACCCACAGAGGTTCCTCCCAACCCCGAACATTCTGTGACTCTGTGAAACCTCCTTCCCCAGCGCAGGGAAACCCTGCAGGCAGGTTCTCAGATCTGGCACAACAGCAGCACGCGGTAACACCGTGCTTGTGCCTAAACTCATTCTGGAAACTGACCGTTAGAAAACCAGATTAAAAAACCCCAGTGTCAGCGATGGGGTGCCAGGTTCCCCCACGCCCGCCTGGCTCGTACCGGCCTTCGACAGGCAGCAGCTCCTCCAGGTCCTCCAGGCCGGGCGCCAGGCCCAGCAGCTTCTTGTAGAGGGCCCCGGGGAAGGGGAAGGGCGCCTGGTACCCGTTGTACAGCGCCCTCCCGCAC